TCGTGGGTGCCCCCTCCGAAACACGCCAACATTTCACCGCCCGGCCGGGCGGAAGCAAAAAAAAAAAAAAAAGTCAAATAAATGCAGCGGGAGTTTATGGTCACACGGTGCAGGTGTTGGCTCGCTGTCCCCGCGTCCCCTCTGATCTAAACCAGGGGCTGCTTTACTCACCGGCTGCTGCTGTGACACTGAGGTTGAACAGGAGCAAGAGCAGGAGCAGCAGGAGCAGGGGCAGGAGCAGGAGCAGGAGCAGGAGCAGGAGCAGGAGCAGGGGCAGCAGCAGGGGCAGCAGCAGCAGCAGCAGCAGCAGGAGCAGCAGGAGCAGCAGCAGCAGCAGGGGCAGGAGCAGGAGCAGCAGCAGCAGGAGCAGCAGCAGCAGCAGGAGCAGCAGCAGCAGCAGGAGCAGGAGCAGGAGCAGGAGCAGGAGCAGGAGGTGTATTGATTGCCCCGAGCTGCTCCTCCAGAGTCTGTGTGTGTGTGTGTGTGTGTGTGTGTGTGTGTGTGCAGGGTTTGTTTTGGCGGAGTCCTCCACAGCTTAATGGCTTTTAGACTTCCATTAGGTCGGAGCAGACAGTGTGGTTTAAGTAAGTAACAAAAGGCTCTGTCAGAATGCTTTAAGCATTAATAAGACACCGTCACCGCCCCGGACGGTCCGCTCACCTGGATCACTCTGTGATTGTGTGTTGGTATCACACACACACACACACACACACACAGAGAGTCTACAGACAGACCGACTGGTGGAGTCTGTAGACTCTCTGTGACTCCAGCGCCCCCACTGACTGAAGTGAAGAAGTGCAAAAACACATTTGAAACTTTTCTTCCGTTCCTCTAGGAAGCTCAAAGAGGCAGAAATTCTCAGTCACTGACTGACGGTTGCAGCAATTTCTTTTGTGTAAATATGGAAAAATACACACAGACACAGACACACACACATATATATAACCTGTGTAAATAAATATACATGGCTGAAATGATTTCCAGTATTTGAGATTTTTATAAATACCTTTTTTTTTGTCTATTCTATCTCTGCACTGTTAAATTTTCAGTTTTTATTTTCATTTATTTTTTCCCCTTTTTGTCAGTCACTGTTTTATTTTTTTATTGTTAATTCTAATCTAATTAAATCTAAACTAATCTGTAATCTAATCTAATTAGGATTATAATTTTGTTCGGGGAAACGTCGTGCTCTGGTCCACACTAAGAATAATAACTGGAGGTCATTTGACCAAAACATTTGACCGAACGTTTGGAGCCTGAAATTACTGCAAAATAAACAGTTAAAAAAAACAAAACAAACAACGATGACTTTCAACACGTTGGATCTAAATCCTGCCTCGTCTCAAAGATTTTCAACTGCTCAGTTACATTTTTAACGCACATTTTTAATGCTGTTTACCGCCCCCTCATGGCCACTCTAATGCCGACTTTCTGGCCGTGTCCACGTTCCCAGCAGAATCGTGCAGCGTTTTACTGAGACGAAAAACTTCTCCAACCGATTTCTTGATGGTGACAATGAGGTCACTGTACTGAAATGTCATCCACAATCACCACATCTCGATCCATTAAAGTGCGAGGAGATTCCCGTTACGGCCGCGCTGACCACAAATGCAGCATTTTCTTTTTGTCTGAAGTCAAATATGAGCACATGTCCAATAATATCCATAAACCATATCTTTACTGGTCAGCGTGTCCGACACTGACTCACTCTCCCTCTGCTTTTTAGATATTACACGCTGTTTTTCCCTCTGGTTCTGTCTAACGCCACTCCGTCCCTGTGATCCTTCAAAGTCCTGCACTTTAATTCATCATCATTTACCATATTTTTCCAGCAGGATGACTTTCGCTTGCCGGGAAGCCTCTCTCTGTGTGTGTGTGTGTGTGTGCACGTGCCATTTCTGTACCACTGGTCCAGTCCCTTTGTTCTCATGGCACCCGCCCTGGTGCTGTGGACGCCCCGGCTCTGGCTGGACCACAGAACCCAGGACTGAGCTTTGGTTGGAAGACTGTTTACTTTTTCCAACCGTAGTCGGGGGGGGGGGGAGAACTCCGTCCACCGTCTCCCCATCCTGGAGTAACATCACGTTTGTTGTCCTGCTTATCAGCGTCCTGACGTCTGACTGGACGCTGTGAAATTTTAGGAAGTCGTAAAATGTGAAAAATGAAAATGTAAAACAGCCTACGTACCAGTCAGATGTTCCGGTGAAGACACGGGACAAACGAGTGGACCAGAGAAGACAAGAGTTACTGCTGGGAGAGAGTGTAATACACCATGGGAGTTTCCCCAGCAGTCTAGGCCTATGACTTAAAACGTTGGTTCATTTATGAATCAAAGCTCCGCTGAGGTACGGAACTCTTTTTCATCTTGTAGTCGTATCTGCTCTCAGATCTGCCAACGGAGCAGGAAGTAATCGAAGGCTTACAACAATGAGCTGGCTGCAGATCAGTAAGGACCCACTCCCAGACACTAGCTCTTATTTCCTTTTTGATTACTCACGCCTGCGTGATGAGCGACATGCTAACACTCCTCTCTGTCTGCCTGCCCACGAGTCAAATCACACAAAGAATAGACGTTTTGTAGGAGAATGGTTTTGATTTGGAGGCTGGAATGTCTTTGTGATAATGGTGAAAGATGTGTTGGCAGAGCCGTGTGTGTGTGTGAGAGAGAGAGAGAGAGAGAGAGAGAGAAAATGTTGTAATGTGTGTATTTTTATGATTCAGACACAGTCATGTATCATGTGTTTCTATGTGTGTGTGTGTGTGTCAGTTTCCATTGATTGGCTTCCAGGCTCTGCCCATAAACAGCTTTTTAAAACTGGAAAAAAAGGGGGAATAGCTGTGCTGGCACTCCAGTCCAAACTGCATTACCACCCAGGCGTGCAGCCCGCCTGCTGTGGGTTGGGTCGCCTCAGTGCTGGTCCTCAGTAGCTCCTAACGCTAGCCTGTCACCCCCCACCCCCACCCCTACTCCAGCAGTCCGGAGGTAGGAAATCAACCCAATTACGGTTGTATTTAAAGAAAATTGGAGCGCTGCCGGAAAAGTGGGGGCATTTCCAAAAACCACAAGAAAAAAAAACAAAAAACTGCTCCACAACTTTTTGGCTTAAAAAAAAAAAAAAAAAAACATGGGGTGACTGTGGAGCAGTGGAGTGACACAAAGACAAATCCTCTGATTGATTTAATATGTGGGATCTGAGCTCTGTTTTGTGAATGACACATTTAGTAGCAGTTGTAGATCTCAGCAGGTAGAACCGCAGCAAAGAGCTGATGTTAGTTCACGTGTTATAACCTCGAGTCCTCAGTCATTCTCTTTAACATCCGTCTTGGTTCGAGAGGCTGCTGAATTTCACTTGTTGCTGGACCTGTTTGATGGACGCTCTGTGTTTGTGCTCAGGTCGGCTGTGCCAATGCTGCGGTGCTTCCTGCCAGGAGCTGGCCTCCTCATGGTGGCGCTGAGTCTGCCAAGACATCCCGGAGACCTCGTCCTCCACTGTGAGTCCTCCTAAAGCACAAACACCTGTAGGCTTCACACCGTGAAAATAGCTGTCAAACTCCGAGGCCCCGTTCACAGTTGTTGCCACCCTCTGATCTGAGTTGCTCTCTCTCTCTCTCTCTCTCTCTCTCTCTCTCTCCCTCTGTGTTGCCTCTCCACTTCTGCCCCTCCTTCTCCTCTTTCTCCTCCGCCTCACTGTCATCTTTTAGGAAACCCCCTCATTACCTGCTCTTTATTCTCCTCCTTATTTTGTGGCACATTTCTCTGTTAGATCTTCACACTTAAAAGCAATTATTTCCCCAAAAAAAAAAAAAACCCCTCCAGTCACTCTAGGTTTTTTTTCTACCTTTTTCATCCTTTCTGCCCCCGTGAAAGAAAACAAAAGGATGAGAAATCAAGGTGTCTGATGTCTTCAGGCATCACACACACACACACACACACACACACACACACAAACTGTTTACTTCACACGCACACACCTTAAAAAGTGTAAGATGATCTAGCATCAAGATGAAAACAAACCAGTGTGTGGGAGGTGTCCCCTGAGGAAGTCCTCGGTCACTACACTG